ATGCTTCGTGGAACCGGTGTCAGTACCTTCGATGCGCGTGGCATGCCACGCCCCTACACCCGCGAGAATTTCCTGCAGATTTACCCACATTGGCGCGACCCCACGGCAAAACTCACCGTGGAACAAGAGGAAGAACTGGCGCGCCGCGAAGCCGAGGAGCTTCGCCAACAAAGCCTCACTGAGGCACGCGGAACGTTCGCTTGCGCCGCATGGGGCGCCGAAGCTGAAGAAAGCGCCACCAATGAAGGGGGGTGGGAAAACGTCGGCGGTTGGGGAACGACTGAGGCTGGCGACTGGGCAACGGCAACCGGCGAATGGGGCGCCACATCTGACGCTGACACGAGTGGCCGGGGCACCCCTACTAGAGGCTGGGGGGCTCCCCGCGAAGACTAAATGGGGGGAGAAGAAGCTAAAGAGTCTGCAGTTGTTCCCCTCGGTCGCCCCGCACGCCATGTCCCACTCGCGTTACCTCCTCCTGATAACCCACCGCGCCGCGATCCATGGGACACCATCGCCTGGGGCAACGAGCCGTCAACCCCGCGTCGCACCGCTTACGGACCGGCTCCCGAACTACGAGAACCAACCCTCGTCCCTGGAACCATCCCTGGGACCAACATCCCACTCTCTGAAATTCGCGACAGAGAGTTCCTGGCACTGATGCTGACCACCGCGGCAGAAGAAGATGCAGAAGAAGCAGCAGCAGAACCTGCTCCCGTACCTGATGAAGACCCGGAGGAAGCCCGCGCGCGCTACATGCGCACCTCCGGCTTTCGCGCTGACGACGCACTCTGGCACCAGCGCCTCGGACATCCTTCTCGCGCAACGATGAAAAATTGTATCGACGCAGGCGTCTTCGCTCCTGGCGCACTCCTGCGCCCTGATGGCTCCGAAGTGAGAGGCGCAACGCACCCGCGCAACTGCACAGTCTGCCCCAAAGCTGCGCTGAGCCACCAACCGTTCCCGCTGCTCGAACCTGGGACGAACCGCTACCCCAAACTGCACAAGGTGTACAGCGATTTCCTGAACGTAGGGCATTGCGGAGTCGAAGACGAGCTATACACTCTCACCTTCATTGACGCTGGAACACGCTACGTGTGGGTCGTGAACGTGGAGACGCGCGACAGAGCCTACGAGGTGTTTCGGCTCTGGTTAGCGCATGCGGAGCGGCAATCTGGAAAGAAGCTCAAAATCTGGCAATCCGACGGCGCGGCAGAGTTCAGGAGCAACCAAATGCAGACTTACCTGGCGCAAAAGGGGATCGAGCATCACATCTCTCTCCCCTACGCACATCAGCAGCAAGGCGTAGCGGAGCGAACGAATCGCACACTGATGACGAAGGTGCGGGCGCTGATGAAGCAGTCGAAGCTGCCGCCGACCTACTGGACCTACGCAATGCACCACGCCGTGCGGGTGCACAACCTGCTTTCAACCACCGCGATCACCGGGAATCTCTCCCCGCACGTCAAATGGACCGGGACCAAGGGGGATACCTCCATGCTCCGCGTGTGGGGGTGCATGGTGCAGTACCGCCCGCCAACATCAACCATCGGCAAATTCGCCAGTCGCGCGCGCTGGGGAATTCACCTCGGCATCAGTCACGAGTACAAAGCATGGATCGTACTGGACCTCCTCAGTCAGAAAACCGCCCACGCTCGCAACGTAATTTTCTACGAGCGTCTCTTCCTCGACCAGTTCCGCGACGACGAGCAGAGGAATGCAGATCACGTTTACGCGAACAACGGCCACAGTTACGCAACGCCCGAAGACGAAGCCGCTGCAGCACTTCTAGAGCAGGACACCAGGGCCGAATTCACTTGGGAAGATCGGCGCAGCAGCGACGACGATGATGATTCCTCAGGAGGAGGAATGGGCGGAACGGGCGGGAGCGGCGGAGGCACAACACCATCAGCACCACCTGAACCTGAGAGCGACGACGATGACGTGCAGGAAGTCATCAAGCAGCGTCGCCACGACAGTACCGTCTCAGGACTACAACTGCTCGGACTTCACACAGCAACCTCGAAAGCGCCGCGCGTCATCGAGCCCCGAAACCCGCGCGAAGCTCTCTCTGGACCACACAGCAAGGAATGGCGTGAGGCAATGGACGCGGAAATCAAGGCACTGGAGTTACGCGACACCTGGGTGCTCGTCGACCGCGCAGCAATCAAAGGTGCAAGAATCCTTTCGGGGAAACGGGTCTTCCGCGTGAAGACCGCAGCTGACGGAACGATTGAGCGCTTTAAAGCACGCTGGGAGGTTCGCGGCTATGACCAGAGGCATGGGATCGATTTCGACCAGACATTCGCCCCCGTCAGTCGCCACACCTCCGTCCGCATCTTGCTCGCCATCGCAGCTGCAAGGCACCTGCCACTCCGCCAGATCGATGTCAAAAACGCGTTCCTATACGCGTTAGTGGACGCTGTGATTTACGTGGAGCAACCACACACCTATGGAGAAGGTGACTCGCGCGTATGTCAGTTGCGCAAGTCACTGTACGGCAAGCAGCAGGCTCCAAGGCTGTGGCAGCAGTTCTTGCACAACATCCTGCTTGAAATTGGGTTCAAGCAGATGCCCCACGACCTAGGGATGTACCGCCGCGATTTCCGCGGGGAATACATCCTCCTCACGGTCTACATCGACGACTTGCTCTACACGGGCTCAAACAACGAGCTGCTCGAACAGTTCGAGAAGGCTTTGGCGGGGCGCGTCGACATCACGTGCAACTACGAGGTGAAGCAGTTCCTAGGCCTCAACATCTCCTACGCGCCTGAAGCCATTCATCTGTCAGCAGCTAAGTATGCAGAGGAGTTAGGGAAGCGGTTCAAGATTTCACCCGCACCTCTCTCGACTCCCTACCAAACCCCCGGACCGAATCACAAACCTGACAACAAAGCCCTATCCCCTGCTGGAATCCAGACTTACCAACAACAGCTGGGATGCCTCCTCTTCGCCTCTGTCACCTGCAGGCCAGAACTCTCCTACATCGCAAGTCAGCTTGCCCAGCACTCACGGAAACCGACGGCTGAAAATCACCTGGACCTGCAGCGCGCTTTGCAATTTTTCGTCTCAACGCCCAAGATTGGGCTGTGCTACTAAACTGCTCCAACCCCATCCTTCAATCTCGTCGGCTATGTGGATGCCGATCATGCAGCAGATCCCGACAATCGACGGTCCAGGACCGGCTTCCTGTTCCGACTCGAACCAACGGGGCCAATCTCCTGGAACTCACAGAAGCAGGAGCTGGTTGCCCTGTCGTCAGCCGAAGCAGAATTCATCGCAGCAACCGCAGCAGTTCGCGAGGGCCTCTACCTACAGGAACTCCTGCAGGAGGCGAAAATTCCAGCTTCGCCAACTTTTCGACTTCACTGCGACAACCAGAGCGCGATTCGCATCGCGAACAAACCTGGTTTCGTCAATCGCACCAAGCACATTGCGCTGCGATATTTCTTCGTGAAGGACGAAGTGGACAAGGGCAAGGTTAACTTGACCTATTGCCCGACCGGTGACATGGCAGCAGACTTCCTCACGAAGCGACTGCCACGCCAGCAGTATCAGCACTGCTCCGAACTCAGCGGCGTGGTCAAACAGGTCAAATCGAGCTACGGCCAGGAGTGAAGGGGGGTGTTACGAATAGTAAATTGAGAAAGCTTGCTTTCTGGTTATTGCAAGGCAACGGCTTCATTTTAATTGGGGTAATTACAACATTCTCGTCCAACTTAAGCATTACACAAAGATCAACAAGGGGTGGGGAGGGGGGAAGCGGAACTGAAAAGTTCCGAAATGAAGACGTGGGTGGAGGCCAAATGGCCTCCAACCCTCGTTATATACTCGGGAACAAGCATTCGCAGTTGCCTTGCGTCACTACAGTCAGCTGCGCTTTCACAATCTTTATTTTTAGAAAGTGTTTCACACTTTCAAAAAAATTCATCATGTGATTGTTACTGGGCACTCCTCACCGCAGCAAAGAGAAGCACGCAGTATCGAAGCAAGAAAGCGAACCGTCAGACAGTTGGAGTTTGACTCGAAGTGTCAGACAAATGGGGCGCATCTGGACCGTCGGAGGCAGACGGCATCGGACAGCTGCAGGCAGGATGTTCTTGGCGGGAACAGTTACGAAACTGTACGCGCCGCACGGTTGAATGTATTTGAATAAGGGAATGTACCCCTTAGAGTACATGGCTAGCTAGGACGTTCCGTCTTCCCTATACTCATATTTATACTTGCTGTATTTGCATGTTTTAATCATCTCAAGCATTTTACATGCACTCTGCTATTGAGGTCACGGGCCCACCAACTACATTTCCCTGTGTGCGAACCTTCCCGAGTAGATCCTGGTAAACGATCATTCTCTGATCGTAGCAGGTCTTACCCTAAGTCGCCTTCGGCGACTTGAGGTGGCAAAGTATTTCCAGGCGCTACGGAACAGTCTTGTTGAATTCCACGATACCACCCTAAATAGTACCTAAATGGGGACCAACACCAAGGAAAGGTAGTCCCCTCTTCCCACTTGTCCATGTTTCCTTCAGGAGGGGAACCAATGACATACGCAAACACAATCAGCAAAATCACCAGGGAAGGAAGTTGCCCTGGCGAAATCAGAGTAGGAATAGAGCCAGCCGATGTCATTGCACCAGAAGTGGGAACCTAAGCAGTCTCAACAGCAGGATTTCTCTCAGCAGCGAAATTGTCTTCAGGAAGGGAATCATCATCTGGTATGAATTCTTCATCCGAAAGGAAGTCTTCCTCATCATCAGTAAGAAACTCATCGTGCAGTGCCAGCACTGCATAGATAGCCATGGCAGAAGCTTGTAGAACTATGTTCTGCCACATCACGAAGGCCATCATCATGAAGCTTAGAAATTTTGCTTGTTTGCGACGCCTTGATGATAAAGGCTGGCGTTCTATATCGACCATGAATTCGTTGAACGTTTCTCTCATTCTCTCAGTATCGATCGCATTATTTTCTTTGATTCTGTCGGACATCAGCGTCATACCCCGCATTATCTCTTCCTCGCGCCGCTGCCAAATGCGCGAGATGGGTTGACTCCTTGATCGACTTCCTGTTGGAAGAACGAGCAATGTCAAGAAGAGTAGGTATATAAAAACAGTGATTAAATGATTTTTTTTTCTAAAACCCGAAAGAATGATATTGGACACAGAGAAAACAAATAAGAAATTTAGCAGCACATATAAATGCGTGAAATTTGTGCATCTGAAAGTACCTTGAGTTGACGGCGAGTCCGCTCGCGGTGGACTAGCCACTGGAATATCTTCAGAATCCCGTGAGTCTTGTCGCTGGCGCTTGACTTCATTGCAGCTCCTTCTTCCAGCAGCGCTAGGCCTCCTCGCCAGCGATTCCTCCCTGTTACCATTTCGTTCATCATTACGACGAAAATCTGTTCTCCCCTCCGCTCCACGTGAGGGAGCTTGGCTTTCTCTTTCCACTATACGTTTCCCCTTAGAAACATCCTTGCTATCACAAACCATCGTTGAATTCTTGAAGATGCGACCTCTAGCGGAGCACAAGAATCAAGGGAAAATCAGTGGTTATTAGGACTCAACGTTGAAGTCCTGGAAGGAACGAAATAGCTTCTGCGTGACGCCCCTGCTGACAGCCCTTGCTAGCCGCTTTTTGTTGGAAGTGGTTCGGCTCGAGTTTATGTTTGCACGTTTCTGAGAGTTTTTGTGGTTTATAGCGTGGTTCAGTGGAATAAGATATCGAACCTAGCCACAACATGACCAACACAACATACGAGGGTACTGCCTTCTGGCTTGCCAGGCCAGTCAGTTTGGTTCGGTTTTACAAGCTTCGGCTGGTTCTCTTCTCGCGTGCGTTGCAGGCAATGATTCCGGAAACTGAACCTCCAGGTTCGGTGTTGTCACGAGTGTAACAAGAATACAACAGTAGCTATCGCAAACACACTCGTTTCAATCTGCACGACCTAGTGCGACGGCACGAAGGGCAAGCGACAGTCGCTACTCACCAGGAAACGCGCTCGCGAAAGTAGGAAACATAAGTTCCAGACAATCGGAAAAGATTCAGACAGGAAACTCGGGACAAATTCACATGTAGGTAAGAATTATTTATCCAACCACGTTGAATCAATCCTCCAGAGTATTTTATATGATCCCTTGATCTTCCAGCAACAGCCTTGATAACCTCGATGACGACAGGATTCAACGGATCAGTCAGGCTCGGGAAAACCGGACGTGGATGACAGCTTCGGTCCAATGTCGAGCCCACCAGAGCCGTCAGGCGAACGGGAGTCTAAACTTATGAATACCGATGTAGACCGGCCGTCGCGGAAGCGGTCTATGCCGAAGAAATTTTCCCGCGAAGTGAAAGATGCGTGCTGGAATAAGGCCGACGTAGTTAAGGGCCGCGATCCGGATCGATGGCGGCGGGATAGCGAGGGAAATGTAGTCTTCCGCGCTTTCGACTCGTGCGACGGCCCGTTCTGCTTCGAGTTCGACCGCATCGTCCCGCGAAATAAGGTGACAGTGCGGAAATAAGGTGACAGTGCGATGCTACGTGCTACGTAGTTTGTGCTGCTTTCTTTCCAAAGGAAGGGGGTGCGTTTCTTCCCCCTCCCACCCTCCTCCCCCTCCCCTTCCTCCTCCCCCTCCCCTTCCTCCTCCCCCTCCCCTTCCTCCTCCCCGTCCCCTTCCTTCCCCCGCGCCCTCCCTCCGTGTGTGCCGACCCGCCTCTCGCTATCCACTCTTCCCTCCCCACGTCATTCCCATTCCCCGTCACGTCGTCTCCCTTCCACCTCACGTCATCCCCCTTACCCCTCACATCATCCCCCTTCCCCCTCACATCATCCCCCTTCCCCCTCACATCATCCCCCTTCCCCCTCGCATCATCCCCCTTCCCCCTCGCATCATCCCCCTTCTCCCTCACGTCATCCCCCTTCCCCTTAACGTCATCCCCTTCTCCCTCACGTCATCCCCCTTCCCCTCACCGGAAACATGTTTATCTGACAGCTCTGACCTCACTGCTTCCCTTCAATTGTCTACACCGCTTTCCACCCCCTTTCCCCCTTTCCCCACCTTCCCCCCTTTCCCCTCTTCCCCTACCTAACCCCTTTTCCCCCCTCTCCTCCCACGTCCCCCCTCCTCCTCCCCCTCCCCGCATTCCCCCTGTGTCCCTTTCGCCCCGTGATTCCAGGGAGGCGACAGCTCAGTAAAGAATCTGTTGAGTCAACTTAAAAAGTCGCCGCTGCAGATGCCCCTTGTCTTTGCCTTGTGACTCCAGGGAGGGAGGTGACAGCTTGGTGGATTTTCTTCTTGTCAACTCAAAAATTGCACCCCCGCATTCCCCCTGTCTCCCTTTCGCCCCGTGATTCCAGGGAGGCGACAGCTCAGTGGAAAACTGCACCATTCGCCAGGTGGGCTTTTTGTGCGGTGCTGTGCGGTATGGTGTGGTAGAATGCAGTGCGTTTGTGCATGTGAGTGGTGCTGCGCGCGCGGTGATGCACAGTACTGCATGCATATATGCGTCCATTTCTCTCGCCACACCCCTATGGGAGGCTCTTATTGGCACCCTTCGCCAGGTGTTTGTAGCTTGCTCCCAGTGCGGTGCTGTGCGATGAAGCCCGGCTGAGTAGGGTGTTTTTGTCGGCTATGCCTGTTGTGGTGTGAGGGTGTTATAACCCATATCCCGTATCCCAAACACACCATGCCTTAACGCACCCTTCCACCACGCACCATACCCGCCATACCCCTACTATGGGTATTCCAACTACTCACTAATCATCCCAGTCATTTTTCATACTCCATGCCCCGTCCCACCACAGCCCTATAGTATGTCTTCCAGGCCCCTTACCAACCATTCCTCATGCTAGTTGACTCAAAACTAGGTTTTTTCATACCCCATGGCCCGTCCCACCACAGCCCTATATTGTGTCTTCCAGGCCCCTTACCAACCATTCCTCATGCTAGGCGACTCAAAACTAGGCTTTTTCATACTCCATGCCCCGTCCCACCACAGCACTATAGTATGTCTTCCAGGCCCCTTACCAACCATTCCTCATGCTAGTCGACTCAAAACTAGGCTTTTTCATACTCCATGCCCCGTCCCACCACAGCCCTATATTGTGTCTTCCAGGCCCCTTACCAACCATTCCTCATGCTAGTCGACTCAAAACTAGGCTTTTTCATACTCCATGCCCCGTCCCACCACAGCCCTATATTGTGTCTTCCAGGCCCCTTACCAACCATTCCTCATGCTCTTGAGAATTCTCATAAGGGATCGCAAGAGCATTTTGAGAATTCTCTGAAGGGATTGCAAGAGCATTTTGAGAATTCTCAAAAGCCCTATATTGTGTCTTCCAGGCCCCTTACCAACCATTCCTCATGCTCCATACACCTCTCTACCATACTCCTATGCCCTTTACTTCAAACCTGCTACCGAGCATCTTCCACGCTCCTTGCCCCATACCCGCCAAGACCTTGCATTCTATACCGCATTGGCTCTCCACTTGTACACCCTGTACCCCTTACAGACATTTCTCTGCAAGTCGCCCCGGTCGTCTCGGGACGTTCAGATTCTTGGCAGGGAATTTTCAGGTGTGGTGGGGGGAATACGAGGGGGAGAGGGGTGGAGTGAGTGGGGGAAGGGGAGTAGTGGGGGTGCAGTGAATATGTGGGAGAGAGCTTAGTAAGTGAGTGACTTAGCCTTTGGGAACACCTGTCTCTGATACACCTGTCTTTGTGTATATATATTTCTTTCTTGTCCTGATCACATTTGTTCCTCATGCCTGATACACCACCCTCCTTTTTCCTACAACCTGATATGATCCACTCCCATTCTTCTCACGGTCCCCTTCCTCCTCCCTCCTACCGTCACAATATTATTTTGCGTATCTCGTGTTATCTCCTGTCAGAATCTCACGTCTCTGACCCCCTTCCTCCATACTACGCTCAAACCTTATCTGTCTTCCCAAATCTGCCTGGGTCTGTCTTGTCCTGGAGTGCTATCTCACGTTTTTTGCAAATCCACATAATCTCATGCATCACTTGCCCCTCTTTTCCACCGCACCCATCTCATAACTTCCCTTTGCAAACATGCCTTTTGCATCCAGAAGCTGACATGGATCTAATTGAAAGGAGTGCGTATGGAAATGTTACACAACTTTCGCAAGGCTCCAGATGCAGCATACAGTAGGGCCAAGTGTACAGTGGATCAGTTCTAATACATTGCTAACATAGACATAACTAGGTGCAGTCTACAGTAGGCTCGAGGCCGGCAGTATGCTAGGCGTCTTCACCGTGAGTGTAATTTACAATAGCGAGGAGTCCAGACGCTGTGATGCTGTAATGTAGTGAGTGCCAGAGTCCAGACGCTGTAATGCTGTAATGTAGTGAGTGCCAGAGTCCAGACGCTGTAATGCTGTCTTTGCGCACTCAAAACCTTTGTGTGGATTCTCGGTACATGGGCTTGTTGCAGCAATTGTTGGTACTAGGACTGTGTTGAGCATAGAGTGGCACTTTCTCCTTCCAGCTACAGCACTTCAGGCGACCCCCCCCAATAATGAAGATGCTGTTTATATTGTGAATGTTAGGAAACAAGTATGGAACTACTGTACCGGCAGCAGAAATCAGTGTACCTACGTGGCTTGGCTCACGCACACAAGCATGGCCACCCTTGCTCCTGTACAAGGTGCAAAGCAGCACCTATTAGAGCTTATCCTCGCTATAAGCATGACGCCTAACAACGCCATATAGTCGCACGCCACCGCGTAACAGCCAGTGTATTATGAACACAACAATGTGAGCTGTACCATTCTCTGTATTCTCTAATAACCCTCCGGAAGCACCACGTTGTTCGTAGTGTGAACAGAAAGTTTACCCGCTTTGAAGTAGAAATCCGGACCCATTATAGTCACCACGCTCTTATTAGGGCCAGCCTTCCCGCGTAGGGAAACCCGCTTCTTCGGCGACGCAGGTGAAACCTTCGTCAAAAAGAGGGGCTTCTTCTGCGCGTCTATCGAAATGGTAACCACTGGGGTGCCAGGTGGTAACATTTGTAACTCCGTGCGCGTCTTCACGCCCTTGATGACTTGGAAGGCGACGATCGTGAGCAATTTCGTCATAGGGTAACCCGTCAGATTCGCTTTCGTGATTGCGTCGTTAGTAGGTACGAGAACGGTGACCGAGTTCTTCTTAACAAAGTCGCTCATCTGCTTTGTCTTCCCTGGTGGGGAGGGGGAGGGGAGAGGGATGGGAGGGGGGGGAAGGGTTGGCGGAAGAGGAATGGCGGAAGAGGAATGACGGAAGTCGTTAGTAGATACTTGAACGGTCACCGAGTTATTCTGAACAAAGTTGCTCGCTTTGTCTTGCCTGTGCGGGGTTGGTAACGGGGACGTCGCGGAGGCGGTATGGCGGAGTGGGGGATAGCGGAGGGCAAGGGGCAGTGGGGAAGACGGGAGGAGCGGGGTAGAGGGGGGGAGGGGGGTGGGGAGGGTTGGTGAGAGGAGGTGGGGGTAATGCGTGTTTAGGGTTGATTTGATAGGTTGAAAAGAGAACTTTTAGAAATCTTGAAACAGTGGTGAGAGGGGTTAATGGATGGAGGATGTTGAATGTAGGACAGCAAGTGTCAGAGATTGAGCGAAGACACAGAAAGAAATCGCGGTTATTAGTACGTGCACCATCTTCAGCTGCTTTCGTCCTCTCTTACGATGCGATTCAGTACGTACCATACATGGTGAAGAGCGAAACGAAGCTCGTGAAACCCGACGCGTTGAGCTTCTGGAGTGCCTCCTCGTAGAACGGCGGCAGCGGAACCGTCTGCTTCGGCTTTTTGGCCGCCGCTAGAGGCGCCGCCCATGCCGCAGAAATGACGAACGATAAGATTACAGTCGCAAGAACCAGGCGCGAAGCTGGCCTTGCAAGGAAGGCAGAGGACGGCATCGTGAGATTGAGAAATCGAAGGCTTAGAGACCAAAACCGATAGCGAGCGAGGTTAAGTCGAGAAGCTAGCTCCTTTGCTGTAAAATGTAACTTCAGCAGGAAACTAAAACGCCATGGTAGATGAATGCTTGAGGCTATGTTGGTAACGGCTAGAATATGCTTCGATGATAAGAGATCTTGGCGCTTTATGAGGGGCCTAAACCCAAGGTTCCGACGGAGGCGGTTGTTGGGGTGGCACTGAACCGACTTGGGATTGGGACGAGTTGCCTGTCGGTTTGACTGAGGGGCAAATTTCTTGGTGTTGGTGGTTTGGGTGTGGGGACCTTGAAAATCGGAATGTGCCGTCCCCCAAAATTTTGCCTCGCCAATTTGCAATTTCGAGCCGCCAATTCAGCTCCGTCTAGCGCGCCGCGTCCGGAGGGCGAAAATTGTGGAGGGAACAAGGTTAGCGCGAGCAAGTCGTCGTGCGGGTAACGACTACTGTCGTGACGGGTGAAGGTTGGAAAATTTCGCCAGGCGAAACAGATTGCGACCGTCACCCGTCTGCGAGCCCAGCGAGTTCCCGTCGTGCGGTGAGCTGGAATCTACGAAAGCGGTAGCGAAGTAAACCTGTCGGTGAAAGGGAGGTGTATCGAGGATACATTGCACTAGCTGTAACACTAAGTTGAAAGGGAGGGTGCAATGTATGGAGGTAGAGATGGTTGCACTAAGTTGACAAACGAGTACAAAATGTGAGCGAAGGCACGAGCGAACATTTATAGCAAAAACAAGTAAACGGTTACGCGATAAGTACCAGCTAGCTATTGTGGTGCTGGCACTGAGGTTCGGGCTAGTCCCGGAGCGCATACCGACTCGGGCCAGACCAGCTATGCATGGTTTGGTAGATGTAGCACATGAAGGCAGCGAAACACCGTTATCAGTAACTGCAAAGAAATGGTTGGTGCTGTCTGTCCGCAATGTTGAGATGCACGGTAAGGAATGCTGAAAATTTCCTCACAAGTGGACATTTCCTACCTTCATTAGCGCAAATGGAAGTGCGCTGGTACACCACCTTTTTGAACACTCAGAACATGCCTAGAAGATTATAATAGCCATCTGTTGTATTTGATCTATCACCTTTCGTCAAAGTTCATCCTGCCTCGGCTTCCTTTACTAGATCCATGTACTCTAACAGCACCCGTTGCATTCTTTTTGTCGAGAGTAAGGCTGGAAACACCACAGTTCGTAGAAGGCCACGCTTTCTTCTCAATTCCTGATAACACAAGCCAAGTATAAAAAAAGCACAAGACAGTCAAGTACAGCTCATACTGCTAACTGGAAACCTTGACAACTTCTCACAGTGCTGTTGCAGCTAAATAAACATTGCTCCAGAGGTGCGTAACTTACTATTTACATTCTCCTACGATATGTAACATACCCCATATGATGTGTGCATGCCAAGACGTACATTCACCAACACTCAATCATACCAAGCCCATACATGCTAGCCGACACGCATTAAAGCCCCAAGCTGACCTCGACAAAACCCGCAGGTGAAGCACCCAAACCCCAATCACTCACCTCATCAACTTGAGTAGTGTGCTGAACAACTGAGCTCGCACAATTACCAGTAACCATGTCTGCTGTTGTGGTAACCGGGTGTTCCCCAGTGTCTACTGGCCCTAGCAAATCCTGGCACACCTCTCTTAGTCGACCCTCGTCGCCCTCCCTGGCAAGGAAAGAATGAAACAGATAAGGGAGGGAGAGGAACCATTCTGCTTTGTACAAGCACTCTCTATACAAGCACACCAGCTCCTGGCACATCTCTCTTAGTCGGCCCTCGTCGCGCTTCCTGGCAAGGAAAGAATGGAACAGGTGAGGGAGGGAGAGGAACCATTCTGCTTTGAACAAAGGGCATATTCCTAAGGGCATTCGCAAGCGAAGAAAATTATAACGGAACTGTACTGTAAAACTAAAACCAACTACAAGACCCCAGATTTCAGGCTTCGGCCATTCACTTGGTGAGCAGACGCACGTATTCCGTCAGGAGCCGGTTTTTGAAACGACTAAAAAACATAGCTACTGCTGTACACTGTATAGCGCCCTTCAATTCTTAAGGGATGAGTCACTCACTTGGTGAGCAGACGCACGTATTCCGCCAGGAGCCTCCTGAACTCGTCAGATGAATTCAACAGACGGCAGGCCGCCAGGGCGTTTTCCAGGTGGGCTCTTGTGGCATGCGCCTCCTCCCCAGGTGCTTGCCTGCTTGGGACAATGAAAGAGAGGGGTAGGAGAGATGAGAGAGAAGGGGATGAGAGGGATATAGAGGAAGTATTGAAATCACTTTTGAGAATTCTCAAAAGTGATTTCAATAGAGAGAAGGGGATGAGAGGGAGATAGAGGAAAGGCCACACGAAGAGGAGGGGAAGGTGAGGCAAAGGGTAAACCAGTGGGAAGCGGAAAAAAAAAAGATGGTGAAGGAGTGTGGGATGGCGAGAGTTTGTCTAGAGAAAGAGTTTTGAAACGAGGGCGTCACACCAGCAGCACCAGCAGCACCATCAGCCGTACCAACAACGCTATCAGAACCACCAGCAACGGAGTACCAACCTTGAAAGGAAAGACAAAGCACCATCAGCAGCACCGTCCCTGCCAGCACCCCGAAACCCCCCAGCTCGAAACGCGGCAGGTGGCGGCTTCCAATTGGAGGAGAGGCGGGAGGAGGGGTGGGGGCGAGAGAGAGGCATCCAGGCGTGCAGAGAGGGGTGGAGGAGGAAGGAGTTTCCGGATAGTAGGGTTACCACCGGGGTGCACGGGGGGAGGAGGCGCGCTGATGCTATTTGTATTGTGCCTGGTGGGAAAGGGTCAAAAGGGAAGTAGGTAGGGATATTGAGGCATCCAGGCGTGTAGGGAGGGTTGGAGAAGGATTTTCCGGAAAGAAGGGTGATGAGGGGAGTGCGTGGGGGGAGGAGGCGAGCTGATGCCATGTGGAGTGTGCCTGGAGGGGATAAACGGGGAGGAGAAGGCAAGAAAGGTGGGAGAGAGAGGCATCTAGGCGCGCAGAGAGGGGGGGAGGCCGTTTTTGAGGCGCCTCAAAAACGACCTCAATGCACGCGGATTTCATACGGAGAGAATTATAAACGGGGAGGAGAAGGCAAGAAAGGTGGGAGAGAGAGGCATCTAGGCGCGCAGAGAGGGGGGGAGGCCGTTTTTGAGGCGCCTCAAAAACGACCTCAATGCACGCGGATTTCATACGGAGAGAATTATAAACGGGGAGGAGAAGGCAAGAAAGGTGGGAGAGAGAGGCATCTAGGCGCGCAGAGAGGGGGGGAGGCCGTTTTTGAGGCGCCTGTCACAGAATCTATTGATATATTCAACACATTCAGTGTCTTGCTAGTTGGGTGTAGAAGGGTGTAGAACCGTGTCATGTAATGTTACCAAAGGGGTTGTTGGGTTTCAAGGGAGTGACGGGAAGTTGGTAGTAGTGGGAATTGCGAAGTACAGCGGGGAGAGCTCAAGGGCCTCGAGGGACAGGGAATTTGCAGTGGCCAATCCAAGGGCAGGGCGACTCGAAGCCAACCCAGTTTGTCGAGGACACTCACGACTTGGGACAGGGCAATAAGTAGCCTAGGCTAGGACATACCAAGCTGTTCTCTCGTTTGTTTGTCTCATATAGTGGTCTAGTGTTACCGTTCTAAAGCTATCTAAGCTAGGTGACTGCGCCACTGTGGGCAACCAGCGTGTGGGAGCCGGATTTTTCACAAAAGAGAGAATAGTATTGGCAGCATGGACTGCCACGAGCTTCGCTGGCAGCGAACGTATTCGCGTCGGGAAATTCCGCCGTCGCGACGGATGCGCTCACAGGAGCGGGAACGATCGCCAGGTCGCTCGCCTAAGAGAGAGGCGGATCGGGCGGATCGGATGGCAGCTGGTGACGGACGGCGCGATGGAGGCGAGACCGATCTGCAGATGAGATTGGCGACGAGACCTCAGCCGTCGAGAAGCGGTCCCTGGGATCTGGCAAAAGGCCAGCGGGGCGCGGGTGAAGAGCATCATGAGGATGCCGACGGAACGGGCTCGCTGATGTTGGCAAACGAGGAGGATTATCCAAAGTACGCGGGAGCAGATTGCTCGCCGGACGACATGCGCGAGGGAGGCGAAAGTCGCCGTGGAGAGAAACGCGAAGATCGCGGAAAGGCGACGGGATCAAGCCGCTCAACAGACGAAGTGCGTGGGAGTAGCGCAGGTCGCCGCGGGAGCGATCGCTCTGCTGGCGAAATGCGCGGGAGTGGCGAGAGGCACCGCGGGAGCGCGGATGCGGATCGTTCTGCTGGCGAAATGCGCGGGAATGGCTCGAGGCGCCACGGAAGCGCGATAGCAGCAGCTTCGACGGGTGAAATGCGCGGGAATGGAGCGAGGCGCCGTGGGAGCGCGGATGCGGGCGGTTTGGCGGGCGAAATGCCTGAGAATGACGCGAGGCGCCGCGGAAGCGCGGTTGCAGCAGGTTCGACGGGCGAAATGCGCGGGAATGGAGCAAGGCGCCGTGGGAGCGCGGATGCGGGCGGTTCGGCGGGCGTAATGCCTGAGAGAGATGCGGGGCGCCGCGGGGGCGCAGGTGCAAATCGCTCGCCAGGCAGGCTGCGCAGAAGTGATGCAAGGCACGGCGAAGGCAAGGAGGCTAAGCGCGCGCCAGAAGCCAGCCGTGAGGAAGAGAGGAGGCGAGACGTGCAGGCGGGGATGTATGGCTCGCCTGAGCCGAGACGCGGACATGAGCGCAGGAGGCGCATGGCGTTGGGCGGATGGCGATCACCAGAGCAGGGGGGAGAGGAAAGTGAGGACGATCGCGATAGGAGGCGCGCGCAGTGCTCGCCTGCACGGCAGCGGACGGAGGAGAGGGAAGCGCGTGTCAAGGGCAGTGAGTGTTCGCCGCCACGGGTGCGGATGCGAGAGCGCGCCGAGAAGAAATAGAAGAGTATCCGTGCGCGGGAGCAGGGTTGGTGCAGGAACCTGTCGGAGAGGCAAGGAGGAGGCAGGAGAGAGAGAGAAACAGGAGAAGGGGTGAAGAAGAGCGCTGCCTGCGAGAGGTGTTCACAGGGGAGGACCCGGGAAGTGACAAAGGAAGGGGAAGAGAGGATCATGGGCGCCAAGAAGCAGGCGGGCGAGGGAGACGTTGTGAAGAAGATATCCCTGGGAGGAATGAAGGGAAGGGGAAGACGAAAAGGAGAGATGAGGAGCACTACAGAAGGAGGGAGAGGTCGCCTGAAAGGAGGACAGAGAGCGAAGAGGAGTATGAGTATGGTCTGGATCGGTGCCAACACAATGAGAAAGAGCGGGGTAAGAAGGAATTATCCCATAAGGGAAGAGAGAAGAACAAGGGAAGGCACGAGGAGCAGAGGGAAGCTGACATAGAGGTATGGGAGGGTCAGAAAAAGGAAGGGCAGAGAAGGAGGGCTGAGGAGCGGCGTAGGCTACGGGAGATGGCGCTCGAGTACGATACGGACAGCGAGGAAGAAGGGGGTGGCAAACTTGCGCGCCATGGGTCGGGCCGAAGGGAGGGGCACTGGGAAGAATATTCATCCGAAAGGAGGGAGGAGCAGAGGAGCAGGCAGGAGGGCCGGAGAAAGATGGATGAGAGAGAGGAGGGAAGAAGGAGCTTGGGCCCAGAGCGGCATGACAGGTCACCATGGGAGGGCTCTAGGGAAGCAAGGGCAGCAAGAGAAGGCATCGAGCGTGTGTTGTACAGGACAGGAGCACGAAACAGGGGAGTAAGGGAGTGGGTAGGGGAAGGCAGCAGGACAGGATGGGGAGGATCAGGAACATGGGGGACAAGGAGATGGAACGGGGTAGACCCACCACGGGTGGAGGTGCCAGTGCGCTTTACAGGGGAGGCGGGAGCGGAGACAAACCTGAAGAATTACCTGATGCAAATCGGCAATGTGAAGTACCGCTGCGACAGAAGCGGGATGGACCCGATAGAGTTTTTCTTGAGCCTACCAAACACGCTAGGCGGTGAAGCTGAGACGCTATATCGTATGAAGATGAAGGAATGGCTGAGGAGGGCAGAGGAGGATGATGAAGACCCAACCACTCTATTCTTGGAGCGGCTGCGGAGGCAGTTTCCAGGGCACACGGCAGAGAGAATTAGAGAATTTCAGGAATTCAGGCGGGGGAAGACGGAATCGCTACTCACCTATTATGGAAGGCTCACTAATCTAGCAGAGGACGTGGTGTGCACGGACAGTAGCATGTTGATAAGTAAGTTCTTGGGAGGCCTGGATGAAGGGCTGAGTAGTGGGTTGCGTATGCGAGTGTATGAGTTGGGGGCAGACGCTACACTAGAAGAGGTGTTCGAGCTTGCGGAGAGGGTGGAGCTGGCGCAGAGGCGATACGAGGCATACCTGCCAAGGGTCTCAGAGAAGAGGCAGCCCACGTGGGCTACAGCGATGATACCTGAGGACGGGGACAGGGAGGAGCAACGGCAGGAGTGGCGACCAGAGACACGAACGTGCCACAGATGCGGGCAGACAGGGCATATACGGAGAAACTGCAAGAACTGTGAAGTGTGCGGAAAGCCTGGGCACCGCCGGAAGGACTGCCCGGATACACCAACCTGTGACGAGTGGGGGAACAAGGGGCATGAGGCAAAGGAGTGGTATGAGAAAACAGGGCGGGCAGAGAGATCACCAGAGGAGATTAAGGACCAGATTGAAAAGTTACAAGCTCTACTGCAGGCGCTGAGAGGAAGGACAGAAAGGGAGGTGGGGTTGTACGCGGGGGAGGAAGAGGAGCAGGAAGATGAGGAGCAAGAGCCAGGGTACTCCTGTACGGTACTGCGTAGCCATGTAGTCAAGGGGCCGCGCAGTGGGGGCAGGGAGGGACGAAGAGAGCAAGTAAATAAGGTAGGAGCATGGACGTGTGTGCAAGTAACATCAGCAATGGAGGAGCAGGACGAGCAAATTGTGGCAAAAACGGGTGTATCAGCAGCAGGGGGAGCGGAGGAACGGGACGAGCAGGTGGGGACAGAAGCGTGCGTATCAGCAGCAGCGGGAGCGGAGGAGAAGGACGAGAAGGTGGGGGCAGAAGTGTGTGTATTAGCAGCGGCGGAAGAGGAAGGGAAGAACGAGAAGGTGGGGGAATGGTCGGGTGTACTAGTGGTAGCGGATGTGAAAGGGAAGGAAGGGAAGGTGGGGCCACCGGCGGGCATGCCAGCAGTAGCGGAGGCGGAAAGCAAGGCAGAGAAGGTGAGGACACAGGCGTGCAAACCAGAAGTAGCAGTAGCGGAAGGGAGGGAAGAGAAGGTGAGAGCACAGGTGTGCGTAGCAGCAGCAGCGGAAGCGGAAGTGGAGGATGAAGGGGTAGAGGCACAGGGGTGTGCAGCAACAGCAGCGGAAGAGGAAGGGAAAGAAGAGAAGGTGGGGGCAGGGGTACGTGTACCAGCAGTAGCGGATACGGAAGGAAAGGAGAAGGTGGGGGCAGGGGTATGTGTACCTGCAGCGACGGAAGCAGAAGGGAAGAACGAGAAGGTGGGGGTACAGGCATGCACACCAGCAACAGCGGTAGAGGAAGGGAAGGAAGAGAAGATGGGGGTAATGTCGTGCAAACCAGAAGTGGCAGAAGCAGTAGGGAAGAATGAAGAGTTGGGGGCACGGGCGGGTGCACCAGCAGCAGCTGAAGCTGAAGGGAAGAACGAAGAGATGAGGGTCAGGGCAGGTGTATCAGCTGAAATGACGAGCAACTGGTGGCAAGGGGAACTAAGGATAGCAGGGTGGGAGGGTCCAGTGTGGGACACGGCCCAGGAGCGGGAGGAAACAGAGAGGGAGAGCAAAGAATTGGGGGCAAGAGAGTGCCTGCCAGCAAGGGAAGCAGTGGAGCAGACAGTTGGAGATGAGATGAGGCAGGAAGGAAAAGAGGCCCTGCAGACGGTGAGGTGGATTAAGGGAGAAACGTGGGAAGAGGAGCCGATGCCGCAAGCAGCCCAGGTGCTGAC